TCTTCTTCTTCTTCTTCTTCTTCTTCTTCCTCCCTTATCCCGCCTGTTTCGTCCCTCCCGTCCCTTCTGGCCCACAGACCCCGTGCTTTTTTACTGGTTTATGGGATTTTTTTCACGCGGACCGCCGAGTCGTACATCAGAGAAGGCTGACTGAGGTCTTTCTCTCGTTTGGATGCCCCCTCTTTCTCTTTTGCACCGCGTGTACGCGCGTTCCATCGCCTCCTTTCTTTCTTTCTTGTTCGCGTTCGTTTTCTCTTCCATTCTTTTCTTTACTGTTTCTCTGTCTGTCTGTCTGCCTGTCTGTCTCTCTTTCTCCGTTGATCGTGGTTGAAGGGTCGTGTGCGTGTTGCCATGAGGTAGAAGGAAAGAGGAGACGAACAATAAAAAAGAGCAAATGCCAGCCGCCATAAAAACAACTGAAAGTATTAAAAACTTTAGGCCTTTTACTGCCGAGCTGCCTTCCCGAGGAAGGTACAGTCGGACGTATACGAACGACCCGCCTCGAGAACGCTCTCTCTGATGCCTTCTGATCTTCCCTTCGTTCCCCCCGCGCTTTGTCGATCGATGGTAATTGAATAATTGTTCGGCAACTTCCGATCAAACACCCGAGGGCCGTTGCTTTAACTTTCTGTATCTCACCATCTCTCAATATTTTCATCGTTACCGGTCCACGCTTATAGAAGTTTGTATTTTTGACGATCACGCTAATTCCGTTCAACAGATGTCGCAGTCAATAGTCTCGTTAAACGATACTCGATTCGTCGTAAATAAATAAACGAATAAGTCACAGGAATGAAAGAAGCTAGAGAACAACAGTTTCCACTGACACGTACGGCGAAAGGGATTCGGAAGCAAGAAGATTATATTGTAACATGCCCGTGTGAACACCAGGCCGCTTAATTCGATTTTATAGATTAGGCAAGAAGTTTCGCCGGTCCAATTTACCAAACACGCAATCCGGCACACGTATCCCGTTTCTTTGCGGATCTAAAGGGACCAGAACTGTCGAGAATTCGAGCGATTCGGAACGCGTTAGACCAAGAAGAATTCATTTCCACGCGAAACCCGATCTATCGGCTGATTCTTCTTATCTTTTCTTCTTGCCGCGAGGGCACACGCGAACAACAATTCGTGACCCGACAAAACCGTGAAACGGAGGGAAAAAGAGCGTTCGCCTGGGTGGCGGATAGTGGCGAATATGGAGAGAAAGAGAGAGAGAGAGAGAGAGACGAGGTATGGCGGGTAGGAGTAGAAAGAACGAATGACGGGGGATGGAGGCTGCGCCTCGTAAAATTATCGTACTTTAATAAAACGTGTCGTGCAAAACGCGAGGATAACGAGAAAATATAGGGTTCGAAAGACTCGTGAAATTTATAGAGCGATCGCCAGGTCCGCGAGCAAGATGAACGAAAGGAGAGAGGGCGAGAAAGAGAGAAAGTCACATTTTGGGATGGTCAGGCCGGGTTTAGTTCGGAGGCACAATAAGATGCCGAATAAATCAACGGAAATACCGTGAGTATCGAGCTCGCAAGTCGATGTTTTACGATCGAACGTGATCGTCGAGCCTTGAATCCACCATCGAGACCAGAAAAAAAGCTTGGAAACAAGTTTTACAGTTTCCCCATTTCCTCGCTCGTGATACGCGTACAACACGAATGGGATGTTCTCCCATCCTCTCCACGTCGACTCCTCTTTACCGCAGTCATCGATTCTCAATAAATATTTCATCACATATTCCGCGAACGATTACAGATTCATTAGATTATTTTTACCGGAGTCCGAATGAAACGTGCGTCGTCGTGTAAAATCGGTTTACATGTTGTCATGTAAAATAGGTTAATAAACGTGCTAATAGGGAATCCTTCTTCTGTGTCGAAGATCGTTTTCTTTTTAAAACGTCTTCTCTCTCCGTGTAGCTGCTCTATTATTTTTAAGTGATTCATAAACTGCAGTTACTTGAAAATGATTTGCCTCTACCATTTCTTATCGTCTTTCTCATTGATAGAACTATCATTGATTCGTCGATAATTCCAAGCATTAAACGTAGAAACTGTCTCTCTAAACGAGGAAAAAAACGTATGGAAAAGCCCGGTTATTCGGTGGAAATTTTTTCATCGTTGCGCGGGACTAGATACTTTTTAAGTCTAATAAGGAAAAGTACTCCTATACTATCTTTCGTCGGCAAATCTTTCCTAATTTCCAAATCACTTAACACGCCGATAATATCAAACACGAAAACCATTTTTATTCGTCGCGTCAGGCTAATTCCTTTTTAATGCGAATTAAAAAAAACATAGCAACACTAGAAACTTCAGCTTGACGAAACTTTCTTAACCTCCAAATCATCCGACCTGTCAATAACTCCAACGAAAGTCTCGAAATTTCAAAGCATCCTTTAAACCAAACAAAAAGAAACAAAAGAAAAGAAAGGAAATACTCGAAACGAAGAAACCAAGAAGAGGAAAGGAAAAGCACCTACTTAAATCCCGGTCACTGGATGGAAATTTTTAATCACGGCCTGAGATCAGCTAATTCAAACAGCGCTAATTTGCGCGGGCAAATTACGCGGGACCGGCGGCGATAACTAAACAACGGTGCGAAAAAAGGATAAGAAGAAGGAAGCGGATCGCAGCGGAGGCAGAAACGGGAGACGGTAGCGCGACATAGTGGAGTACGACGTTCGTGATTCTCTAATCTCTGCAAACCATCCCCCAACCTCTTCGCCGGTTCGGAGTGGAGGAGGCAAGAGTCTTTGGGTGCCCCTGGAGGGCACCTCGACTACGTTGTACCGCACTGAGAGGGCCGCGGCAGCAGTAAATCTCGCGGACAAACAATCATAATTTTCGAAGAGCTAACAAAAAGCAAGAGACTCTTTAAAGGGAGCCGATGCCAGGCAACATGAAATGCGGCCGCCTCCGCGCCTCCAATTGTTTCGAGGTTTTCTTTCCTCCCCTCTTTCGCCAAAGCCACCGCAACCTCCTCGCCCTCTTTTTCTCTCCTCGTCCTTTCCTCCTTTCCACCAGATTCGCATCCGCGTGTATCAACAAGTGTGCACTCTTCCCTCGTTGATTTCTTCATTCCTTTATCTAGAGTCTTTCTTGCCAATTGTCTTTTTTACACCGATCTCTCCCCTTCGCGGTTTCTTACGCGTCTCTTTTTTCTTTTCTTCCCTCTCTTTTCTTCCTACGGCCTGTTTACTTTAGAACGTGTCGGTAGATCGATCCTAAATGGCTATATCGCGAGGGGTTTTGTCGGTTTAAAGGGTAATAAGAAAGATTCCTTGGAGAAGAGTCGCGGGTCTAATTTGGCGCAGCGATCGGACGAGCAGCTGCTTCTTGCGATTTACTTTAAGAATTCGCGGGGTGGATTGCACGTATTTCGAGGCTGAAAAAGGAAGAAGGTTCGCGCAAAACCTTCAACTCGCACGCCGGTTTTTAGTCTCTTTACAGAGGAGAGTTTCGAGCGAAAGAGCGGAAAAAAGATCATAATTCAACCTTGATGTTCTCCTCCGATTCTTCTCCGCGTTTGTATCTCTTCTATTTTAAATATTTCCTTCGTAAAGAGCGTGCAATACACGAAAGGCGAGAAACACTAAAAGCAAACGTACAGAAACTATATATACGTACAGTATCTGATTATATCTATTGAAATAGAGAATCCATTTCGATCGTATGGATCATCATTCAAAATCATAATAATTCAAATCATAATAATCACAGAGGACTAGAAAAGAACACTAGAGATTTCGGTATACGACCAACATGCTTGTCATCCATCGTGAATCGAAACGAAGAAGATACGTCACGCTAATCCTTCTAATATTTCCAGCAAACATTTCACCATAGATATACATATGGTTTCACTTACCAAATCGATCGCAGCTACGCGAGAACAGAAACGAACGATAAACCCGCGAGGCCAGCGTAAACGAGATCGAATCCGATAAGTGTAAGGGGAAAATTTCCAAACGACACTGCATGGAACATGAAAACACCACCTGTTCCAAGACTCTTTGTTCTTTTTTCTTTCTCTCGAGACGGCAAATTACAAGCCTCATTTTCAACGTCTCAGCAGTGGTTGAAAAGAAAAGAGGAAGAAAAAAAGGCGAAGGAAATATACAAGGCGGGATGGTTAATTCTCGGTGTGCACACCTTTATCGAACACGAAGGAGGAAGTTCTGAAAACGAACAGGGGCAGTGCTTATCGAGAGCCGTGATTCTGATTACAGGCTCTCGGGACGAAGAAATCGTCAGGCATGGTTCGCCATAAAAATTCACCCCCGTCCAACCCCCGGTTCCGATAACGTGTTTCTTTCCGTGGTTAGTTTCTTAAAATCCCGCTAAGATAGCATCGTCGCGTGAAATCAGCCAGCGTTTCTCAGTTATTTCCACCCGGCCAGACCGTGAGCAGCGCTAATTTTCCGCTCTAACCGAACGCGATATTCTCTTACTGGTAATTACGTGTATCTGTGCAGGTCGAGAGGATTCACGCCATTCGACAGACATGTAACATGTGCGTTTTTAGAATATAATCCTGAGAGTCGGATGAGCTCGGTCTCGCGCGAAAGAATATTCTCGTAGTCGGGTGTCAGCCGCGAAATTTTTCCTTCTGCCACGAAAGAACAATGCGTCCATGCTAAATCCGGCCTGTGAAACGCGCACCTCTCAAAATCCGAGGCTAAGTGGCTGCCAACTACTTTACAGCCCTCCCCTGCAATAACCCATCACTTCCCTGACATAATTCAAATACTTTGTTACTGCAGGCGCGCGGCAATGTTCACTCGCTCGTATAAATTATAAATAAACCTGCTCCGCGACCCGTTTTAATGGCTTTCCCGAAACTCAGCAACGGAACATTCTGCTCGCTAACGATATTTCTACTAGACGGAGGCAGACTTGCCATATTTCCGCGCCTTTTTGCTTTTTTTTCCTAAAGCGCGAGATTATTCTCGACGATTCTTCTAAGGTCTAGTTAGAGGGTAAGACTCTTCAGGTATTTACCTCGACTTCTCTCTCTTTCTCTCTCTCTCTATTTCTCCCTTTCTCAACGAGTATCTCCGTTTCCTCCGCTTCTTGTCTCTCGTTTGGTGAACATAGTAGCGCTCTCCCGGCGATGAGATCCCGGAATTCGATGAAAGGTGGATGGGTCTGACGATAGTCGTTGGTCGTAACTTCCTTACGTCGATTTTCCTACACGAAGAGGGAAACTTCACCCGATCGCGTGTCGTCGCCGTGTCTCATCACTCACTCGTATAGTACGGTGGCTCTGTCTAAAGTTTCGTGTGGCGGAGTGTATCACTTTGGCATCGCGTTAACACCGATCAGTTCGAACCGACTGAGGTTGCGAGCCAGGTATCGATCACCAAGCTTGTCTCCGGTAATCTATTCCCTCGAGTCACACTGGTCACGTAAAACTTGTCACATCGATCGTATATTTGCACACCGTCCACGAAGAGAAAAAAGCACTGGCCCTGTTGTTTTTTTTCTTTCTCTTTTTCCCCCAACAAGTTGCACTGTCATCCGATGGACATCCACGAAACGGATCACTTAATTCGACGCAACACGAACGACGACTCCGGCGACCCTTCGACGACGCCGTGGAACCGGAAGTCCCCGGTACCAGCGCGAATTCACGAAGAGAAGTCGAGAATTGGCGGCGCGCGATGATGCCACTGTCCTCTCTTCCCTAGCTCGGCTCTCTCTACTCACGCCCGAGGGGGTGGGGAGAGGGTTTGTTTGCCAACTGGTGGTGGCAATGGTCCGCAGAGGGTGGGGTATGCGCGCGTCCACCGGACGAAACGAGCGAGATCACGATAAGACGCAGAAACGTACGAGGGGGAAAACGTTTCGCGTCGAAAGCAGCGCGTTCAAACAACTCGAAACGATGGAAAAACGTCCTCCACCTTACCGGCGATTCTTCTGGGGGGTTGATCGCGACGTATCCGCGGGTTCTCCACCCGTGAAACTCGCTACCCGGTGTGCCTTCCACTCTACACCGCGGAACACTCCACTCCGGCTGCTTGGTGGGGGAGGCTTAGGTTGACCAGAAGAAGAAGTGGGGGTGTTCCGTGGCTTCCGTCCGGAGGAGGCGGTCTGGTTCCGTGTGTCTAGCTGTCCACTGACCGGGCTGATAGGCCAAGGCGATCCTGACTCCGACTCGATCCGAGGGAGAAGGAAAAAAAAAGAGCAGACGCTGGCACGATCCCGCGAGACCGCGCGCGGTCCGCTGCTAAATCGACGGTTCAACCCCCGTTTTTCACGGGGTTATTAGAACGACGTCGGACGATCCGTGGTCGAGAGAGAACGCGTGAGAACGTAGAGGCGTCCGAAGCAGAGAGAGAATCTTTCACCGAGCCCAGAACGTAAAACAAGCGAGTGCGCGTGGCTCGGCTGGCGCGAGATGACTGAACCCCTCCGAAGGGTAAGAGAGAGACAGAGTGGAGGGGAGCGGTGCCACTTCTCTGCCCCTTCCTTCGCCGCTTAGGAACGAACGCTGCGGTTCGTTGTCCCCACCAAAGCTGTCCTGGAACGATGCCCCACCCCGTCAGACGGAACGACACGTCGGGTT